GCGCCACTACTAATTTTCATACAATATTAAGAAGCGCAGCTGCAGCGCCACAGTCGCGGCGCGCACCACTTTTGCATACTAGATATTGTATTAAAATTAGTGTGTATAGTATAAAGGTTTAAGTACTTAACTAAATGTAAACAAACTTCAGTTGTCACTTGCAAACAAAGCAAACGTACGTACCTAGTTGTAATGGCATCGGGTTAACCGGTCAAAATTACATTATTTATTAGTGAGTTTCATGAACGTCGAATTACTGCCGTGCTCTTTAATTTGGTCGCATGATACTAACTGTCCGTCTTTTTGAAGGCTGCGAACCATTCACCTAATGCTGCGAACTTTTGGATTTTTAGGTTGTTTCTCGTAGGAAATATGTGATATGTGACATTAAAATATTAGACATCTTTATTTAAATATTTAATTTATGCGGTTTAGATTTAAGTATTTAGTAGTAACTATTTTAAATAGACAGTTCGTAATAAGTAGCTGAAAATATTATCATAGATTTGGAACGATTTTCAAAAAGTTCGTTATAATTTTACGATAAGTAACCAGGTAACTTACAATTTAATCTCATAAAATACCTCATTATGGTTGGTTTACATTTAGTCAATTACATATACCTCTAAGGTGTAGGCTGTAGCGCTTCTACAAGCGTCTAATTGCTACTTAGCAATAAGAATACCTGGCATATGTACATTAGCTTAGCCGGGTATACTTATTGTTCTGTATTGTCATTGTATTTTATTATACGCAGTAAAGAATGTTTAGTTAATTACTTTACACGCTGTACTTTGCACAGTTGCATTTAAAAAATCTCAACTTAAAGTTACAAAAATTGCCTTGAAAGCAAAATTTTCTTGCTTAATACGCAAACAGATCAAAAGTTTTTTTTTAAATTTTGTTTTCTCTTAACTTCGCGGTTTGCGTTTGTGCCACTGCAAAACGGGGAAGAGATCAATAGTGACGCAGAATGTACGAAAAGTAACAATCTGGCAACACTGGTGTTAATAACTTTTTCGAATTCGATTTCGATTCAAAAATTGTAATATCCGTTCGTGCTAATGATCGAGCGAAAGTACGATGTCACTCGGCGTTCAGAAACGAAGATTTTTCCACTAGTAGTCACATGTTTACCTTTTTTGATATACGTGTAGATAAAATGAAACTATTTTTAACCAATTGGTTTCAATTGGGTCCTTTACAGGTCCCATGGTCATGGCTGATCCGTGATCATTTATTTAAAGCAATTTTGTAGAAAACGAATTGAATGTGGGTTACACAACTTTTGCGCTTATAGTCTAATACCTATAGTAACCTGTTTTTTTAATTATAAACGAGTTCGACACGCGCGCGTCGACACTCGGCTAAAGTCGAGCGGTTTCACGCGTCGCTTACGCGCAGTGACGCGCTAGGGGGTCTACTCTCGATCTCCGTCCGAAACAATTACTGCCAAATAAACACTACTTGACCAAATGAAAAGACGCGTGATGCGAATGAGGCTCCATTCTTGAAACTTGTCTTTTAATTTTGTCGAATATTACTTAGTTGTCGTCTACGACGCGTGTCGCCATGCGTTGTTGTTGAAAAACAGGACACGATGCGACGATTCGAATGTTGTTAAATGTTGCCATGAAAGATTTGTCTTAAGTTACAACATTTGCTCAAGAATAGGATCTATGCGTTGCGCGGATCAAACCTGGTAAGACTTCACTTATTATGTCTAGATGCATTCTGCGCGGCAATTTCATTCATTAACATATCCTGTATCTTACTTCTCAGCACCAACTTCCTCATCGAATCCAACTGCCTAAAATACGGCATTAACGATTTCAAAAACATTAAATCGTAATCATCGTCTGCATAAGGCTTTCTTTCACTTATTGGATCCTCCTGCAGGAAGTCGACTTTATTCGATTCTACTTGAAAGAAATTATCAATTTCTACATCGTAATCTTCTTGACCGCTTTCCTCTAGATATTCTGTGTTACTCAAACTGTCTACTTCTACCTCAAGCTGATCATCGTTTTCTTGGGTTTCGGCGTCAAAATTTGTATCACAAATTTTGAAAAGGAACCATAGAGGTTGGAAATACCTCCATCGCCCTTTATAATTGCTCAACGAAGTAGTTTTGAATTTTTTCAATTCTTTCTTGAATAGATCGCGCAAATTCTTCCATTTCGCTCGAAGAATAATCTCTGAAACAAGGGATAACATTGTTAGCGGTTTAATTTTAACTTGTGTGTTTTATTTATTTATTTACTTAATAAAAAACTAAAATAGTCATTATGAGTAACAAAATAGAGAATTTGTTTTTTTAGTAGCAGTTATAGTACCAACTTGTGAAAGAGTTCGTCCAGGGTAGTACTGCCAGCTTATCTATTTCTGCCGCCCAACAGTGACGTCAGCATTACGTGTTCCAGTTTTGAAGGGTAAGGGTGCTGGTGAAATTGCAGGCATATGGGACTTGTCAACTTATGTCTCAAGGTGACAGGCGCAGTGGTAGTGCCCCTCAGATCTTTGAAATTTAAAGCTCTGAGTGGCACTGTCACTGTTTTGGACAGGCGTGTAGCTTACCATAAAGCGCACGACTTGCTAGTCCCGTCATTTGATGTTATAAAAAAAATACACCGAAATGGTAATCACTTCCATGCTGATAAGAACTCTAACACCATCATACTTTGTATAATTGTTTTCAATACTTTTGCCCTTGCCCTGTTATTACCTTTGGTTTCTGTCTACAATTTCTTGTTGTCTTTAAAATACAGTATTTTTCAACGATTTTCAGTAAAAATAGAATGATACAGTCCTTTGTAGGAACAAGGACGCTTTCATTTTCTGAACACTAAGCATTAATCAATTATGTATTTTTATTACAAGCTTTTAAATACAATAGGGCATCGGACTATTATCTGAATTAAAAATTAACCACAATATGCATATAGGTACTAAGAAAAATTTCACTTTATTTAAAACTTTTCAAGACGCTAAAACCATATTCAAATGTAATAATATAAAAATATTGCCGCGCAAATGGGGCGCTGCTTAACAACATCAACTTGAAATGCATGACGTCATTGGTAGGTAAACAAACTAGGCAAGGTGCACTTGCCATTTGCGCGAGAAATTTACATATTGATTGAACAGAGAAAAAACACAAGCCCAAACGCGAACAGTGAATTACGGTGACGTTTCTTTATTTACCTTAGGTATGACGTCACGTGGTGTGTTATGGTATATTTCGTAGGCGGCAGATTAAAAATCTTTATTATTTCTATATGTTTTGATTGAATGATTACACAAACATTTTTTCTAACTATTTTTTAAATTTTTTGTGATTATGGTCCGACTGTCTATTACCACAATCTGCAAACCGGCGGACGGCAAGGAGACAAAGTGTGATACGTAGTAAAATAGTAAATTAATGAATAAAAAGAAAAAATAACAAGTCGTTTTTTTAATTTTTTTAAAGTTATTTATATTCTATTTTGTACTATTCATGTGATTTTATAATTAATTACTTAAGAAGAAGTTAAGTTTTTATTTATTTTTTATATGGCAGTTAATAATTTAAACTTTGAGTTTCGGTTTCGTCCAAACATTTTTAATGGCTCTGTGATTATAGATTTAACTAAACAGAATTAAGAACTAGATATGTATATATTATAAAAGATTTTATTACAAATATTTGCAATAAATAACTTTAATTTAAATTTATGAATTCAAAGGTGCCCCAAGGTGGGTTCAAAATTGCCTTAGGCGTGGAGCAGCTTTGTACATTTGAGTTCCTTCACAAAAATGGGAATTCTGACAGAATTATAAAGTTTTTGATCGTGCTTATTATGAATGATTATAGCCAAATAATAGGTGTAACTACGGCAGCAATCACAACATATAAATAATATTTTTTAGGATTGTATAACCAGATATGTAAAAAATGTTCAAAGGTGTCTCATTCTTCCCCACTAATTGGTTACAATTAATTGTCATTTTTGTTACCGAATCATGAACTATTTTGTTTCAAATTCAAATTCAAAATAATCTTTATTTCATAGGTAAGCATTATTACACTTGAAATCGTCACAATATTAAACTCTACCGCTCATTCGTAAGGCAGATTCCTTATTTAGAGAGTTTATTTAGAGTATCTACTTTATAGGAGACCCGCGCTCAGCATTAGAATTAGATTATGATGTCGAAGTCACCTAGCCTCAAAATATGGGAGTAACAAAACAAGTTCAGGAATAATAACAAATCATGCTACTTCTAACGCCATCTATGAATATCTACTTAAACTATACAAATACCATGTCATGATACGTACCTGTGAGTCCGACGTTTTTAGCCACCTCTTTCCACGCTGTAACGCACAGTAATCTGTTGGTGTAATTTTCGTCTTCTGGATCCCACAAACAGGGTCTACATTTGACTTCCTTGATTAGTTTGCAGGCCGTTTCTTCACTGAGATAATAAGTGTGTTTGTTTGGACCCATTTTTGAAACAACAACGGTTCGCGACAAAGGTCCACGCGACAAGAACGCGTCGCGGCAACTAGGGGCGATTGGTGAGCTGCGTGCCCAAGCGGGCGATTATGAGAGGCGACGACACGCGAGCTATCGAAGCGACGTTGCCGCGCCGTGCAGACGCGCCTTATCGCCTCAGTGTGGAAAACCAATCGTCGAAATATGGCACTTTGCACGATTTGAGAAATATGCAGTCGTGAGAAATATGTATTGAAAATGTAAAGTCCTATAAAACTGGCAAACAGTGAATAAACATTATGTTTGAATTTTATGTATCTTTTAATTCTTATATGTGCTACTGGAGTGATTCAAGATTTTAGTAAAATTCGTTCTTAATATTCTTGCTTCTTACAATATAATAAATAAAGTAGATGATTGAACTAGGAAGTATTTTTTATTTACAGTAATTTGATTTTAAAACCAGTGCCATCTATGTATTTTATTTGGTACTACATACTCAGCTTGGACACGCTGTTCACCATTCTGCCTCCGCTGGTTGTCCAGCTAGTTCAGTGAAACTATCACAGATGGCATGTATAGTGTCATGACAAGAGTTTTACCTGTTCAGATTCATTCAATTATGCAGAGTAATAATAATCGTTCCGCTTTGTTGCGAAATAAATTCTAAGACATTTCTGTTATCCTGGTATCTGTTCGCGAATTGCTTGGTGGCATATATTGTGGCCTGTTTACTTTAGACGAGAAATGTACATTCTAGAAATTAATTAAAGACGACACATATAGGTTTGTTTGCTATGTATCATCATACTTATCTAGAAAGTGAAATCTTAAATTTGGTCAAAAATATCTATAAGTACATTTAGATGATCTAACCTTATAGGCGCTTTATCTTTCCGTTGAAATTCCAGACTTCAAACCCTAAGTTCGTGAGCTGCGAGTGTTCTTTCTTTTTAGAAAATTATAAAAAGAAATATGTAATGCACTGACTCTGGCGAATAGAAAATCGAAGCAGCTAGCTCCCTTATCCAACATGTTAGCATAACCTTTTAAAGAGGAACTTCCGCCAGTATTTTGTGTCCTGACGTCGTTGACGTCTATTGTAATGCCGACGAAGTTTTTTAAAATGAAGCAATTATTTTATGTCGTTAATCACAATAAAATACATCCTAAACTAATGTATCTATGTGTAGGTTACCTTGTTTGTTCGTAATATTATCAACAATTTGGATTTCGGCTGAAAAATAATACTTATAATAAGATAGTTAGGACGTCGTCGCGCCAACTAATTCGTTACAGGTCAGCGTCCAGTTGGTATGAAAGGTTTTGGAATTGCTTTGCCTTTGGTACTGCGTACTTGCAGTCGTTATGCAGCTCCAGTGAATACACCGATTACGTTTTCTTATAGTTTGTGGGGTACGTGTTTTTTAAATATAGGTAACTACTATCAGTAGGCCTTATCAGTTCCAGATTGTAGTACTGTCATTTATTGTACCTATCACCAAATTTAGTTTATAATAAAAATATGACGTAGCCCTCAAACGCCATTGGCTGACAAGAAAAGTATGCTGCGGATGACCGTTGCCTGCACGTAAAAAAAACGTTTTTAATTATATTGCATAGGTCGTCTAAATGATGGTTGTTCAAAATAACCATATTGTATGATTTGGGAAACACTGAACACGGATAAAGGTGTTGAAATGAACAGCAGATGCAGATGATGCAGCATGCAGGCTTTGTTCATTATCAGACGTCGAGTCGTTCACGATGTAGGTATAATCAGTTAAACAAGAACAAGAACTCACCGAATCAGTCTTTAAACCCCGGCGCTGACGGTGGCACGATAGGGAATTTTTAGGTGACAAATTAAATTTCAATTATAATGGCTACCAGAACAAAGCTAGCAGACAGCCTCGGGAATGCCTCCTACTTGGTATATAGTTATCGTCTTCTTCTTCAGCAAGTCTACCATTTATAAATACCTATACTTCTTAATTACAACTGGTAGAAGACCACTCTGCAAGGTTACGACCGCAGAACAATAAATACAAATTGCTTTTTTTCTTCCGTGGTTTCGACTGATCTGAAGAGAGGCTGGTGGTGACGCGAGCACGATGTCGTACCGTAATGCTTCGGTATGCCTCAGGATACCGCGGCATAATGGCTGTCAGTGTGCGCTTGCATGTGGAAATGCCGAAAGATTCTTTGCCAGACGTCCCGCCAATGGGCGCTGCGCCTTAGAGAGCAGGCGTCCAGAAAGTAACAGACGTTTAGTAAAATCATAAAAGGTTATAATAATAAAACAAAATTTTCCGTCCACATTTTAATTAGAGACATTGGTATAAAATATATGAGATATAAAACAGCACAGTCGTAATTAAACTAAAACATTTCAATACGCCAATATAAAACACGTCAATATTATTTTAAAATCAATTATTCTGAAATGTAAGAGTTAATTTATATATCGCTAGGGTATATAAAGAGAAATTGATTTTCTAAATTAAATTATACGATAAATGGTTTTTGATATATTCTTTTTTATATAACCGACCTTGTTTGACGGTTGATTTTGAAACTTAAAAATAAGTAATCTTTTAGGATTTTAAGGCTAGGATAAAAATTTTAAATATTCGTAAGATTCATTCACTGTGATGTTATCGAAAAATACGTTCATTCATTTGTGACTTAAATGTTTTATACGATGACTTTAGCAGCACTACAAAAGCACTCTCATAAGCGGATTAAACATCAAGTATTGGTTTAGTCCTAACTGTCGAAAGAGTGTAACAATAACCAAAACTATAATACCTTTGACATCATAGACAATCGTCTTATTATTACGACTAAAAGTTACTTTGTGATAGCTATGCCGCCCAACCAGTTAACTTAAAAGGACAGGTCACAGAGCGTGCATTTTAACCCTATCTTGTATATTACTTAACACTAGCGAAAAGAAAGTCTGCAGATGCAGATGATTCATAACAAATGTAGAATGAGAGAAAGCTAGACATTTGCTGTTCTTTACCTGCATGATACCAAGTTGGGGAATAAGTTTATTAAACACGCGACGGGAATATGCATTTTAATTAATATTACCTCATATACCCGTAACGTTCGTCCAAATAGAACTAAGTTTCCAAAGCAATCAAGAATTTTTTATGGATTTTAAAACACCACGCGCTTGGGAAAAATAGCTCTTATTATTGTAATAACTTTGATGGTGACTGCGAAATTCAATTACCTACCAGGGACGCTGTTCCCATAAAATATGTTTATAAAATACTATATGTTCCAATATGTACCGATTAACGCCGCGCGGTCATAAAATTATCCTTTTAAAAAGCCAGTCCGAAGTTCAATGTGACATACTTAGAATAATAACGTATAGAATGATAGTTTCATATCAAACGAACTGTCACAAGTGAGGGAAAAATCAAATTCATGTAGGCTAGTTTTAGTAGTAGGTTAATTTTCGGTTTTAGTGAATATTTATATAAAAATACAAGTTGAAACGCGTTACTTCCTTGTGGAATGTGATGTTAGTATCTATTTTATGTTTGTCTGACGTATTTTTACACTCATTTACCGCACATGTTGTAATTTTTAGCTAATATTCTTGAGCTGTTCGCGGTGCAAGTTGACCTTGAGCACTGAAGCCCCGCCCGATCATGTAGGCCCATTGGGAGCGCTTCAATTTGCCTCAGTTAGTGTGTGCGGACTAGGTTTCTATGCGTTATTATTCTAAGGTGACATATTAAATCCAATATATTTCAGAAAATAATTCACAACTTCAGAATTAAAAAGAAAGATATTAGGAACAGCAAAGGACGTGACATTGCACTTCAGACTAGTTTTTGAGTTAGACCGGTAGGTGTAAGTTAAAGATTCCAAATTTTACAATTCGAGTACGTCGTGTTGAAGCCACCACTTGACTCCATAGCACACTGGCAAATAGATAAATTGCGTGTTTTGTTTTGTTCAAAATTCATAATATGAATCATTGACTTACAAATAAATGGACGACGGGTCTAATACAAAAACCAGGAAAAAAATGTCTCAAGTCAACCTATTTAAACGTACTGACATGTAAAGGAATATGAAACAGCTAAAACGTTGAATTTAAATTGTAATGTCATCGCAGTACTGTCTAATTTTGCTTGCTTCGCTGTCAGTCGAACAAACGAAGACTAAAGCGTGAATGACGCTCTGCATACGATTTTAACGCCCTATAAGTTCGGACACTTTTTAGCGCGGACCCGACGTCCATATAATTGTAAGTCAATGGTTAGACCGGTAGGTGTAAGTTAAAGATTCCAAATTTTATAATTCGAATTGTCAATTAATCATATGATGATTCTGCCAATGGGGCATTTTTAGCCTTGGATAAAGCTGGCAGTTACTTCCGCCAAAGAATAAGCTTAGCTCAATGGGGGAAATCTGCAAATCTCCCTGATGCATAAGTTGACAAATACCATGTGCTTGTAATTTCATCAACACCAAATGCTCACGTTATTGCTTGGCGTCAGAAATAGGTAAGGAAGCAATACTTCACCGGAAGGAGCTCTAGTGCTACAATATCATTCTATAATGTCAGGTATAACATAATGTTGAAAAGAAAAGTGAACATTGAAAGAATATCATCACAGTGAATCCGAAATATTTAGATGGAAGTGTGGCTGGATAACATATATTTTTACATACATAATCAGATTTTACCATTACAATTACAGACTGTTTTGTTACATTACATCCATGGATTCAACAGTATATTTTAGTAATAGTAAATACAATAATAATATCCTAAATTACTAGTTTATATAATGTTTTTTACACATTACATAATAATATTTTTCATTTGGCGGTAATTTGAAACATACAAAGCTTCAGCGGAATGTCTAATACGATACTTTAAGTGTCGTGTAAATAATATAACATATCGACATTGGAAAGAAATCTTGTCGTATCGTAGAAAAATAAGAAAATGATTTTTCTACAAATTTGGTATCAGAATAAATAAACAAATAGTAGTTTATGTGATTGTTACATAAAGAAAGGCACGAAAACACGGGTGTTTTGATGCCTAATTATAAACAGTTACATACACTGCTTTATCTATGCACTTATTATAAGCTCTCTATGATGTGTTCAGGAACCGCATGTTACGACTGGCGAAATGGCGGCACACACAACCGTAGTTTTTATTTAATTCATATACAAACTAGAATCGGCCCCAACTATCATGTCGTTCGATATCAAGTACCGTGTGAAATTTGTCAAAATTGTTTGCTATTGACATTTCATTTCGAATAAAACTTCATCTCGACTGATATTACAATTGAGGTCGAATCAAATTGTTTTGTTTTTAACACACCATAGAGGGTTTATGATATGTGTGTAGATAAACGATATTTTTTATGTTATACGATGTTCGTTTTTGGCGAAACAAAGAAAAAAATTTGTAAATAAAACTTCAGAAGTTACTTAATTTTTCGATACACGACTAGATTGCGTTCCAGCATCGATATAATATGGAAATAGAACCTAGAAATGCATTATGTGTATAATTAGCAATACATATTTATAATTTAACAACTCAGGTTTCGTTTAGCAAAATGCGGCGCGGGGAGTTTCGAATTCTGTTGAAAATTATTCCAAAAACATCACTTTTTTTTAATATAGAACGGACTGTGAAAGGAGAGCGTTTTTGTTCTCTATTATGATTTTTAGGATTTTGTTAAGTTAACGAACTGGTGGTTACTTAGCGTGCTGTTGTTAACTCATTTTGTTACACAATACTGTCCCCTTGCTTAGGAATAGACGTAACTTAGAATTTTTATGGAAGTTGATTATTTCTCCAATCATTACTAATCCACAGATCGAAGAGTAAGAAAATTTGTTCAATCCGGCTAGATTCGAACCAGCGCCCTCAGTATACCAATAGTATAACGCTCTCCCAACTGAGCTACGGAACAAACCAACAGACCTTACGATTTTTTCTATAGCCTGTTGTAGATATTTGTTTTTGGTTTTTTCCGACTTTTTTGCCGCAGCGCCATCTGTATGCTGAAGGCGTTGGCTCGATACCAGCCGATTCGAAGGAATTTACATAGTGTTCTATCGTTGTATTAATGATTATAAAAATACCAGTGGAGTAATTTAAAAAAAAAAAAATTGAATATCATGATAGTAAAACATCGTGGCTAAATTAAAAAAATATCGTTATTCAAGCGCCATATCTAGTCAGCGATGGTAGCTGTAAATGTACCTCTCCGGTGAAGAAATAAATTTCTCAGAGATGGTGCTACAGCAAAAAGTCACATGGAAAGGTTCACAAGGTCTGCTGGTTCGTTCTGTGGCTTAGTTGGCAGAGCATCTGACACGGATTGCCTGAGAGTGCAGCGATCGAATGAGTTTTTCTCAGTGTTCGATCTATTATTTTCTTGTCAAATTCATTAGTTAGGTCCATTAGTGTCGTTAAGGTACCTAGATATTCAAGTCCAACTCTTATTTAATAAGCTTGAGAAACATCCCGTTGGGAAAAAGCTTAACAAATGTATAAACATTAATAAGAACCACATAAATTAACAGTTTCAGATATACTTTTTGCAAATAAGTGGTTAGACCACGTCACTTTGGCACGCAACTTGAATTACAGGGAAGCCTAATGAAATATATACTTAATAATAATATCAACCATTATAAATTCGACAAAAAATGCTGCGATGAAAGTCTCCTCTTTAACAAGCAAAGTTCATAATATAAATAATAGTAACAATAAATATATCTTTGGCAACGATTACCTAAAAAAATTCTCGCGCGCAATTATACATAGATAGATTTTGAGAAGTTAATCTCACATTACGGACTAGTTTATGTAATTAAGTAATCACTATGCTTAAGCTACCACATCGACAAACGTAATCTTAAAAGTTAGTTAAAATATGTGACATAATTCCAATAAAAACGTTTACGAAATGATGGGCGATTCTTTTCCTGTGCTATGTATTCAGATCACGTCACACATTCTAACCGTTTCCTCTATATAATATGGAATACTTAAATAAACATTTACAATAAATTTACCAGCACAACATTCAATGTCTTGATCATTATATCTAGAAAATGAATTGTTACTACCCCTTCCTTAGAAGTTTGTTTTCAATGTTACTAACAATACAATGAGTTAAAAGAAATTTACATAATTATTATGAAATATACTCAAGGACTTATTTAGAGGTACGCTAAAAAAAGGTTGAATATGATTACAATGTTCCACACAAGCTACTTAGAAAGACGGTTCAAGTTCATTGTTTTTGACCGACTTAAGGAGGTTCTCAATTGGACTATATGCTTTTTTTTGTATGTATGTTACGCGATAGATTTGAGAACCGACTTTGATGATTCTTTTTTGTTGGAAAGAGGGTACCGCATTATTGGTCCCATTTAAATTTGAAGAAAACATTTCACTTCAAAGGGTGGCAAACTAGGGGTTGAATGACTTTTGAGGTAGGTTTTTAGTACTCTGTACTGATTTCCAATTAAACGTTCTGGTACTGTGTCCAGTGGTTCATAATTATGAACATTCGTTATTATAATTCAACCTTTTTTTGTTTGTCCATGAGTTTACGTAAAAAGATTCAAATTACTACACTTGGACGCAAAAATAACAGACCAGTGTCACGTTGTAACTTGATCCAGAACACACTGTCCTTCTCCACACTAACTGTCATGTCTAACATTTTTGTCTCAACTATAAGACACGGTTTTCTCAATTAATCATTGATAAGTTTGACACAGGCTACAGCTTTAGCTTAAGTTAGTCTCGAAAGGGGATGATATGTATTACTTTCAAAATTCTACTTAAACGTTTTACACCGATTATTTTAGGCGGACTAGTGTTTTTTTTATAACACTAAGTGACGGAACGAACAAGTCGTGCGCTTGATGCTTAGAGACACGCCTGTCCATAATAGTTGCAGTGTCACTCAGATCTTTAGATCGCAAGGATTGCCACTAAAGAAGCAGAAGAAGTACGAAGAAGGAGGACTGCCACTGCGATCATCACAATGAGACATAAGTTGAAAAGTCTCATGTGCGTGTAATTTCACCCTTATCCTTCTAAACCGGAATGCAATGCTCACGTTACTGTTTGGCGGCAGAAATAGGTAAGGTGTGTTCCAGTTTGCAACAGATACATTGTTTAGTGGTATTAATACTTTATTAAATGAGAACACATTTGACACGTGTTTCGCCTCACTACGAGGCTTGTTCTGGAGTTGTTGATGGTTCGACGCTTGGTTTAACCACGATGTTAATCTCAGAGGTGCAAGCCCGGACACGAAGCCACGTCCCTCTGCTTGAGAAGCGTTAGGCGCCACAGGACAGAGATAAGGTCAATATACACAGTTTTAACAAATTATAAGTTGTTAATAACTGTGATACTTTCAAACGTTGTAACGTTATAACTTTCGTTGGCTATATATTTTGCGTTTCCAAGTGTATATTTGTAAATAAATTTGTTGTCAATTATGCCATAAAACTACAATTCGCTGTAGTCTTTTCATCAGTGATTAAAAAATATTTGAATAAAATAAAATCAATATTTCTTTTGAAATTTTTTTAGAACACTCTTTCTCAGTCTCTTCGGATTAAAATTCTAATATTTCTCCAAATTTCCAAATGCACAAAGTATAGAAAATTATGTAAAAGTTCTACCACGAAAATCATGAAGAAACGTAGCGACGGACACGACAATTATTTTATGATATAAATATGTATATTAAGACTACATAGTGATATATTTTTGAGGATTTTTTTTTTATTGTTGGTCTAGGGTCACATTTAGGTATGTATTTAATTATTAAAAACATCGATTGACAACATCTAATGCATTAATTATTATAATAATATACATATTATTAACTTTTATCAATGAGAATTGTAGACAGAGAAATGAAGACTGGTTGTTATTTGCCTTTGGAAATGAACTTTTAAAAATAGCTGCACGACGTCTTCCTCTTCCATTCTTGTGCTAGAGATAGATTGGTTACGATGGAGAGAAAACCGAAGTACTTACTAGCCAGTTTGAAAATCCATTATTCATTATTGGATTATAGTACGAGAATCACATTTGCTAAGCTCGCGTATAACTGTAGAATAATACATGGCCGTAAACATGTGTTTAACATTTATACATACAGACACTAAAATCTTAATAATAATTACATTTAAGTGCGCAGACACACGACATGCATTCTGACTGCATTGTAATTAAGTAGTTAATAGATTTAGGCGTTACCTGGCGGCTGCGATTGTGTTGAATTTTGTTTCTTTTTTTCATGCAGTTAATTTTCCCACCCTCCCGCCGCATACAATTAATAAAATAAATAACACGAACTCAACTACAGTCATGGGGTCGTATTCTAAAACTCTACTCAATGCTCAAGTTAGGATTTGAGTATGGTTTAAAGCACTCGAAATCATACTCAAGTCCCTGCCATTAGGGTCGTATTTCCAGTGCTTGTGTTTCCAGTGCAATCCTGACTTGAGCATTGAGTAGAGTTCTAGAATACGACCCTCAATAAACCACCATCAAAAATATAGCAGTTGTGCTTGTGTTATTAATTTTATGCGGAGGGAGGGTGGGAAAATTAACTGCATGAAAAGAAACAATGTTCAACACAAGCGCAGCTACTTTGCACGATTTAACCTTCACTGGGTTCGTGGAGTAGCAAATTAATTTGCTTCCATTTTTATTGCGTTGTAATTGCTATGCAGTTTGAATGCACATAGTGCGTATGCACACAAAGAGGCTTGCCTCAAACTTCCGGACCTGTCGTTCTATTGCGACCCCTTGCCTCGCAACCTGTTTACTCCTATAGATATATATTTCGATAGTACATACTCATTTAATAAATACCTTCTGTTCTGCGGACGGTCAGGCTTATAAAGATATACTTTAACTTGATTTTTATAAACCGATTTGCTTTTTTAAATGATTTATATCGCTCCTCTGTTTACTGTGGTCCATTGACTGATAAATTTTCATCATTAACACCGAATTTTATACACTTTAAAAGCAAATAGAAATTGGGATTAAAATTGTAAAGTTTTCAAAATCTAAACCTTAATAGGTATATAAAATAATTTGACGAAAATTTACAAACAATTGTAATGAAGAGAGATTGGTATAGGAAGAGTATATTCCAAAACATTGTGGAAGCAATTCACGGAATTAATAAAAAATCAAAACAAAATGCATTCATTAACATATTTAGAGAAACGCTGAGAAATGGCTAAATCCTGATAATAACGTTCATAGGACCACTAACCACATATACCAGAACGTTGAATTCGAAAAAGAATAACTCCAATCGCCTTTTCTGCTGAAACGTTCTGGTATATGTGGCCGGAGTGGTTACTAAACGTTGTCATTATAATTAAACCTTATTTTAGCGTTCCACGAAATATGAGTCGTAAAATATTTGTCAGTTACTTTTAAAAATATAGAACAAAATACAATAATTTCGAGCTCTACACTCTATACGTATATATTACTTCTTTCAAGTTTAGGCAAATATAATCTGACTACCGATCTCTGATAATGAATGAACCATGTAATAAGTGATCAAATAACCACGTTCATATGAAAACAATTCACCGAATGATATTAAGGGTAGGACCTAATTAAAATGATATGTAAATAACTCTGTTTTATACATATAAAATATATAATGAGCTTTGTTTTATATACAATGGGACTTGAATGGATTACATGAACCGATTGGAAGGAGTATTTCTTAAACTAAATACGCGAAGTACGATATACATATGTCTGCATGTTTTTTCATACATTGTTGCATGCACCAGACTCATACAATGTCAAACGCGCGTTCGAACCGCTCGATACAATCACACATCGCGGTGGCCTTCGTTAGTTCCAAAAATGTGTCACAATACTAAACAATATAAGGTGAAAAATTAAATAAACGCAAGTAATGAACAATTGGTTTTTAACATGATGAATATTCGTCGAATCTCAACCAACACAGATAATTATATAACAATTTTATCTTACCATTTATCGTGTTTAACATTGGGTAACCACGGACACTATAGTCCTGATGAATAACCTTGAAGTTTCTGAAACCCTGACGTCCAAGCATTCCGTAATCTCGAATTTTTTTAACACCTAATACGGAAGGAAAGAATTAGTTGGACAGAGATAGTGACAAATGAGAAAGTATAACGAGCGTAAAGAAACTAGAAACATGGACAACAACGGATACGTCATATTTATAGGCTTTTGATATGTAGTGTTAGAAGCAGATGGAATGAACGGGAGTGACCAGTGAGGAAGTATACTAATAAGTGTAAAGAAAGTCAGAGTCATCTTGAAAATAGTTGAAAACCGAAGCGGAACGAAGGAAAGGTGGAAGAAAAATCTTTGAAGAAAGCTCTTGTATCTAAGAGAACATGTAATACACACAATATTACATACAAAATTCTTATACTGGAGGTCCACCGTTGCGTTCTGAAGGACCAGCTCGCAATCTTTATAACTCACAAGACAAAGGCAGATTTCAAAACGTACCAATGGACCTCCGACCCGAATACGAATATAAATTGGAGTACGTTAAGTAACATAAAATATACTACATTGGGATAAGATAAAATCAATCGAGCATAGTCATATAATTTCCTAAAAGCAGCTATTATGGAAGTGAGTTTAACAAAGGGTTAATGCAACGTCCATACTGTTGAAATGGAAAAGGGATGTTTTCCTAAACATACTAAACACGATTGAAATGAAAAGAAGGCCAACCGCATTCACCCTTAAATAAACGGAACAGCGGCATAATACGAACGTTTATTTTAAATTACACTAAGTTACTGGTCAAGACTTAGCTTAAGTGTCACTTGTAGCTGATGGTTGCTTGATCAAATCGGCTTCTCGTCCCATGCTCGGCTGTGCCTTCAGTTTCGGTTTGTCTTTCTCATTCTTGTGGTCGTGGGATTTGTCATGCTTGTGGTCCGGTTTGTGGTCGTGGCCGTGGCCGTGGCCGCTCTCGACCGTGCTAACTCCGTTGTTGTGGGCTGGAGCGTGTTCTCTCTCCTCTTCCTCTTCGGCTTCCTCGCGGTATTTTTTGTTGTACCAATGAATGCATATGCATCTGAAAGCATATGAAGAACATATTTAAGACGCGATCAAGCAAGCGCGCATTGTTTATTTGGAGTCGTCATTTGTTACTTTCAACTTGAGTAATTAAGTTTAGTAACAAATCTACTTATTGCAATAAACTGTCTTACCAACTATAGGTTCCATGTTTAGTAGTTCCATTAAAATTCGCTAGATGGCATTGACCCATCTTTCGCATCTAATAGTGAGTACTCCGACCAAATTTGGATTATGGGAGAGAATCAACGTAGATTAATAGGCATCTCTGGTCGAGTCTTTGTGGGAACTTGCCTTTCTAGGAAAGAATGTGTGTGGAAATTTGTTTGGCACCTTGTATTTATAACGGACTTCACAAAAGGAAGAGGTTCTCAATTCGATTACTCCGGCATTTGTGAACCGATTTCGATGATTCTTTTTTTGGCGGAAAGAGGGTACCTCAGTATTGGTCCCATTTGAATTTGAAGAAAATATTCCATCTCTAAGAGTGGCAAACAAGGGGATAAATCCGCGCACTTTCATGTAACCGATTTCAATAACACTTGGCTCGGTTATTTTTTTCTAAAAAGTTATTATATATAAATAAATCATTACGCCCGACGCCAATCACATCAGTATTTTCCGAAAACTACAATTTGGGGCTATTCAAGGCTACACATTGACGCTTAAAATCAGGTGAGACTACGGTCGAGCGTGCGTCTACTTATTTTTTTTTTTGTGTTATATTCATAAAACATTTTCAATTTCTTAATTGTACTTCGCTACGTTCAGTCTTTTTCAATAACGTTTAACAATTTGGCCAGACTTTTAATACCTGTATTACTTTTTAATTGAAGCCACATAACCCGCTCGCATGCGATAAAAGCTAAGTGTAGACCCAGCCCTGGTTAATTGTATTAAAAAAACGCCGCTACTTGTTTCGCTAACAGGTAGAACTTTCATTTACCTAAGTGGGTCTTACGTCACATTTTGTATTATCTACAGTTAGCTCGTATAGTCTAGGTAGTTAATATAAGTAAGTGTTTAACATCGGGTTAAGCGTGAAACACACAAAGAGCGGGTGCGATTCGGGCGCGTGTCGGTTCGGGAGCGCGTCGGGTCTATACTCCAGCAAACCAATTATTTCACTTTTGACAGCTCGAATTCTATAGTCCATTTGTTTAGGTACTTAACTAAATGTAAAATTACATTTATTTGTTTATGGTGGTATGTCCATAATTACGGAACTTCGGAGGCATGCAAATAAAGGCTTGGGCGGAGTATAATTCCGTGTATTTGTATGGACGACAACACACCTTTCTCGCTTTACTGTTGGCTTAGGGAACCTAGTTTCCTACATAATGTTAAAATCAATATGTCGTAAATTTCAAGGTTATTTATTTCTAGTACCGTTACTGAATAAGCTTTTATAAAGAACTCAATTTCAATTAGCGTATTATACTTTTTTACTAGTTGTCCGGGTGCTGATTACATTATAATTTGACATTATCTTCGGCCCATAACATACCGTTTACGTGCATGTACTATGTTGCTGTTGCTACATTCTCAAGTTCTGAACGTATAATGGTAAAATGTTTACTAGCAAAAAAATGATGTTTCATTTGTTTTTATTGCATTAAAAATGTCATCAAGAGTGAGGCCAGATGAACGTAATTTTTGACCGCCTTAAAAAAGAGGAGGTTCTCTATTCGATTGTATTTTTTTGTATGTATGTTTGTTGTATTTGGGAATTTGATGATTCTTTTTTACTGGAAAGAGGGTACCTCATTCCCATATTGGTCCCATTTAAATTTGAAGAACATATTCCATTTGTAAGGGTGGAAGCTAAGGGATGAATCCGGTATCGTGCACTTTCCGGTAATGCATTTCAATAAAACTAGGCAAGTATGTAATTCCATGCACATTTGAGATCGTTTTTTTTATTATAAAAACAGTTACATAAGTTGTGAGTTGCGTTTTTTGAGTCTCGTAGTATATGTTCGGCTGAAATTCGGTTGGGGCGCCACAAGAACGTATTTTATTCAGTTGCTTCTAAGCGTTAGTACAGGGTGTTTGTGTCATATTATATAGTGTAATGGGTCCATTAAAAATAAATTGTATTTATGAAGCATTACAAGATAATATTCGGAAAAGAAGCTGGGTTCACTCACTAAAATATGAAAAGATTAAAGTGTGGGCAGTTTAATGTTATTATATGAAAGTTCATGTGAATATCCAGATGTATAAGGTCCTACCACATTCCAACAAAGTGTTTCCCCCACCCCTCCCTTCACCCGCACATCCATTCGTCGCAAAGTGTGGCCGAAGTTCGGTGGTAATTACGCGCGTGAGTCAGCATGTAACTCCTTTTGCGTCGTCGTGTGGCACCAACCGGATTTCTTTTATATGAAACCGAATGCAATGTAAATTACGCGACTCACAACTACAAGATCACGCTCGTCTGGTCTTACCTTTAATTACCAAGGGACCACTGCCATTATACAGGGTGACAGGTTGAACGAGATAAATATTTAAAGACGCAAACGAGTAGCTGATATCTAATCCGAATATGTGAAAATATTCGCCTATAAACGTAAAAAAAAATTCGCGCCATTTTATAAATACTAACACACTCTTGTCTGTCTGTGCGTGTGTGTGTGTGTGTGACACTAAACAATCGCTACATAGTAGTGTTGGGTTTATTTTACTGTTATTATGGTACTGCCACACCAACCTGAGACATAAGTTGACAAGTCCCATGTGCCTGTAATTTCACCAGCACTCTTATCCTTCAAATGCAGTAATGCTCACATTACTGCTTGGCGGCTAAAGTCGGTCGGCGGTCTAAGGTTAATAGCCAGTTTTTAATTTTAAGTTCAGTTTAACGAGCAGATAATAGATATGTGTTTTATTAATTTTATTATACATGTATGGCGCCATAGTTGACGTCTAGCCCAAGCTGTGCGAAATAGATAATGATGTCCGAGCGAGGAGTTTACCTAAGGATAGCGCCGATCACGCCAGCGCCGAAGAGCGCGCCGCCAGCCCCCATCAGGTAAAAGCGATGCTGTGCGGCTTCAGCTCCCGGGGACAACTGCACCAGCCCTACCACCAGCACAACGACGCCAAGTAGCAAAGAGCCGACTACAGCGTGCAGGGCTGCCACCTGCGAAAACTGGATTATTCATTTGCCTAACGTTAGTTAATTGTTATTTGGTTAGTTGTTATTATAATTATAAAATAATATAAATAAGTATATTAAATCTTTATTATTTTAAGCACGGTCAGTCGTTTATGCAACTTACGTCAATCTGGTAATATTAGTGTATTATTGAGATGTTTTTATTATGATTATTAACTAAAATACAGATCGAACACAGGAAAATTTTCTTCGACCCGATGGGATTTGAACCCACGACCATATTGTACCGTAGTGTTGCCACCAATTGAGCTACGGGTCCAGTTATCGAGTCGTTGATATTCTGGTATGTGTTTTTTTAATTAAAGATCTTTGTTCTGGATTTTTCGGCATTCTGTAAATTCAAATCTCTCACTAGATGTCTCTAGCGGCGCATCTATGTATCAATAATCATGGTAATATTAGTGTTAGTTAAAACTGTAAAGGCCCAGGCAATTGCCTTACAGTTGTATACATGTACATATATCTATCTTTCTTCTTTTTTACACTCAGGTGATAGATTTAGATTGAGTCAGAATTAATGAGGTCAGGTGGACGGATGAAAAAAAGCCCTAATAGCCTAATTTCGCACTGTTCATACAATAGTGTACTAAGTAAAAAAGTGTATTTTTTTCAGAATCGGTGGAAAACGATTACTCACTTCCCGTAAAAGATTATAAAAATTTATATTTAGGTTAAAGTTTATTACTGAAATCCAAACAATTTCCTACTTGCCATTTGTATTTAAAAATAAAAGGGGAAATATAATTTCATATTTTTGAGTAAGGACTGTTTTGTCCAGAACTAGCTCACATACGGTTTGTCTCATTTTCAGTTAAGTAGATATCTTTTAATTGTTTCGTACAATACTGACTAATGACGGTTTTATTGACATGTAGAGAATCAAATTTTACATTCCGAAAAGGTATGATCTTGAATTTCACGTATTTTTAGTTACAACACTATTGTAATAGCAGTGCGATTTGTATCAATTGATTTGTAATCTAATTAGTTGGTAGCCTAATTGGTTTGACCTACCGACTTTCGAGCAAAGGTCGTAGTTTCCAAATAAAGAAATCGATATTAATATTTTAAGACTCTAAAAACACATGAAGTAGAAACCTGTTCTGCAATAACATCACAAACTTCTTCGAAAGCAGGCACTAACTTTATTAGTCACTGTAGTGAATTACTGTTTTACCAACTTAAATACTGCGTTTAGGCTTCGGACTTTAAACTTTATCATTTAAATCTTGAGTGTAAAACCCAATACGTTGTTGACTGTACTCATTGACTTACAATTATATGGACGTCGGGTCCGCGCTAAAAAGTATCCGAACTTATAGGGCGTTAAAATCGTATACAGAGCGTCATTCACGCTCTAGTCTTCGTTTGTTCGACTGACAGCGAAGCAAGCAAAATTAGACAGTACTGCGATGACATTACAATTTAAATTCAACGTTTTAGCTTTTTCATATTCCTTGACATGTCACTACGTTTAAATAGGTTGACTTGGGACATTTTTTTCGTGGTTTTTGTATTACACCCGTCGTCCATTTATTTGTAAGTCAATGACTGTACTGGATAGTATTTATAAAATGTGTACTTACACGTCCGCAAAAATACAGCTCATTCCTGAATCGGTGGTGGTCCGGAGACGGTGTAGGGTCTCCATGAGAAGGCTGTCCCAGCTGGAGGGGCAGCTGGGAAGGGCGGCGGCCTCCACCCCCACCCCGCTTCTCGTTCCGCCGCCGTTCATGCCGGACGGCCACTGCAGGCATCGCACCAATCATTTTCGCTGTGGACGTCAGGAGGACTTCAGTTCCAAATGAATACATTTGGAAAATGTTTTAACCTCCTAAGCTAAGAAAAGCGCCATATCGTCGTGAATGGTACACTTACGCGTAACTAGCATTGGATTATGAGTTTCCATGTCGGTAATGTAAAGGTAAAGTGGTCAAATCAAATCCGCGTATATGCCGTGGCAACAAAATTAGCGTGATATACAGCGAGATATAAAATTTGGTTTACTGCAGATACGCGCCTCTTACCAAAGCTACATACGCGGATTTGCACTGTCCCCGACGACGATATGCGCAATGTACATTCAAATGTACTAATTACTTTCTTCGGGCTATAGCAAGTGAAGAGTCCAGGGAAAGAATGATCAAAGTCCCTTGAGAAGAATTCTAAAGAATTTTTAATTTGGAGAACTTTTATTGGTAAAAAAGACACACACAAACACCACCTTAAATAAAGGTAATGCTGACATAAATATATGTCACGCTACGTAATCAATTTTAACAAAAAACATTTCTAAAATAATTTTTAACTTTTCTACTATTTAGACGCAAGCATTTTATGACTAAAAATAAAAAGTAATTTTTAAGGACAGTGAGAGTCGTATTCTAGAACTCTACTCAATGCTCAAGTCAGGATTGCAATTGAAACACAAGCACTGGAAATACGACGCTAATGGCAGGGACTTGAGTATGATATCGAGTGCTTTAAACCATACTTAAATCCTGACTTGAGCATTGAGTAGAGTTCTAGAATACGACCCTCAATGTTATTAGCCTTTTTCTGATTTAGGCTAAGTACGCTCAGCGTTTACCAAACTGGATGGCGGTATTAACATGGTATTAACGCAAAACGTGTTTTAAATTACTATGATCATCCTTTCCCTGGTCTCTTCAAGTGTGCCCTCAGTTTTGTATGAAAAACGCATCCAGGTTTTTTAAAGTATTTTTCTAGATACACTGTAGCATGGACCAAATCAAGAGGATTGCTAATAGCGATGCAAGACAGTATTAGAGTGTTTAGTACCTATAGGTACACTAGATGTCGCGACGAGTACCAAATAGCTATTTTTATAACTAATTTCTTTAACATTGCCAAGCTAAAATTTATCAATAGAGAAATTTCTAGTGATAACAAACAAATCAACTAGATGGCGCTTATTAAGCAGATTTTTGTAGACAGTGCCGGCTATTCTTTTATTTTATTTAGGATTAGCGCCATCTATCCATATTAGGAAGCGTTAATTTATAAATTAGTTTTCTAACACACAATGCCATCTATTGACATACGCACATTTGTCAAAGTTCTGAAAATAACAAAAGCTCATGATCAATATTTGCATAATACTACAAGGAAAATAAAGCGACTAACGAAAGATGCTGGCAGATCTTGGGCATCTTGCCGCGGAGACCCAATTTTGTTCATATAATTTAAAAATCCTAAATATTTTAGCTTTTATCGTACCTTACCTGTATATTATCACAATAATTAATTATTATTTTTTTTAGTGAAAGAAACTGGTTTCTTATATTTCATATTAAAGAGGAATTAATTCATATCTCCAATTGGACGGAATTTTACCTTTTTTAAGAGTTAGATATCGCACTGCTATTACAATAGTGTTGTAACTCAAAATATGTGAAATTCAATATTATATCATTACTGAACGTAAAATTTAATTATCTACACGTCAATACAATCGTCGTTAGAATATCGTAAGAAATAATTAAAATGAGTGTGAGTGAATGACTTAACTCAAAATGAGACACACTTTATGTGAACTAATTCTGATCAGAATAGTCCTTATTCAAAAATATGAAATAATTTTTTCCGTTTTATTTTAAAATACCTTTTTGGCAAGCAGGAATTTGTTAAAAGTGTCTGTAATAAACTATAATCTACACAAAAAAATTAATGAACTTTCACAGGAAGCGAGTAATTCGTTTCTTATTGATTCTGAGAAAATACACTTTTTGAGTTAAGAGAGTCCACTATTGTATAAATACTGCGATACGTAGTATAAAGATTAATTAGCAGTCCTCTTCAACTATTGGTTCATGTCTATATTCATATCGTCTGTTCAAAGGTAAAACCACATAAGTGACATTTTCCACAAAAATTCTTTAATTTATACAGCTACGGTAAGGAAATCACCATCTCTCTGCACGTGAAACTCAATTACAAAAAAGATATAAACTTAATAAGAGTTTTATCTGCAGAAAGATGATGCATTTCTTATAACTGGTATATAATTTGGAGATTTTTTGTGGAAAATGTCACTTACGTGGTTTTTCCTTTAAGCAGACGATATATAGCGCTAAATTTGAATGCGGTATTTACATTACACTGGGCATTTAAGTGGCCATAAAAATAATATTGTCTAAGTCTGAATCTAATATTGTATACGCTGCCTTAGGAGGTTAAATTAGAATTTGAAGCTAACATGCTCGCGGGACATGTATTTGCCTTTCGTTCTTAATCTTTTGTAAATTAAGTATCATATTTTGCTAAAGATGTTTGCTATCATGAGTAGAATCTTAGCTAAAAAATTATCACACTTCTGTGGCACAATCTACATAGCAAATATATCACTTGTAGGCTTTTTTAAACTACCACAAACAGCCATCGTTTTGATTATGACTAATTACAGGTTTCTCACTACCATGTGAGTTCTTTTTATTTTCTGGACATTTGGAAACGGTTACACGCTCTATGGTCACGGGTTGACTGGCCAGCGTCAGAAATATAGGAGAAAAAAAGATGAGTGCTAAGAAATCTAAGTTATAAAGTCATAATCATTTAGTAAAAAACCACGAAAGCTTTAAAAAGTTATCTTTTTTATGGAGGAACAACTCGTGAGCCTGGTGGTAAGCGACACGCCTGTCCATAACAGTTGCAGTGCCAGTCAGAGCTTTAAATCTCCAAGATCTGAAGGGCACTGCTACTGCGCCTGTCACCCTGAGACGAAAGTTGACAAGTCCCATGTGTCTATAATTTTTCCAGCCAATATATTTGTGCCCACATAAACTATGGTATTGGCCAACATAACTTAATTGCCAATTGAGAACCTGGGAGCTACAGGAAAACTCGTTATTCGTCTTATTGAAGCCTCCAGTGACCAGTAAGAATAAGTTTAGCTACCCAAAGGAGAAAGTTGCGTCTTGACCACGATGCACCTTCTCGCGTTCTGCGATGAAATTTTCTACTTTTATTTTTAAAAGGAAATTTCTAGTTCTTTTTGTTTTATATTATTATACCCAGTGATAGGACGAATGCGCCCGTCGCTCTTAGACACAAGTTGACTGCTTTTAAGTTCACGAGCACCCTTACCCTTCAAAACCGAAACACAGTAACGCTCACATTATTGCTTGGCGGCAGAAATAGGTAAGGTGGCAGTACTTCCCCGGACGAACTCCTTCACAGGGACCTTTTCTGCTACTACCACATAATTTCTATTGCATTATGTATCATATTTGAAATAAATATTGTAACACGTATGCAAGTGTATAGTGCAAAGGGCAAAAAGAATGACTAGTAGAGTTTAATCAATATGACGATTCAAGTGTAACTTTCTTACTTATGGAATAAAGATTATTTAAGTTTGAATTTGAATCAGGCGTATTTATCAGTATTACCTTTATTTAATATTATGTAAATTGCCTATTTCATGTTAGATTTAGATTTCTTTAACATCTTCTAATCTTTACATCAAATGCTCTACTTGCCACGTCACAAGCTCGTAATATTTAGCACGTCAATAGTACTAAATATTTTATATTATCAATGTAAAATATATATTTTTTTATGAATATTTGTAAATATCACATTTGTTACTATTGTAACTTGTTAAGATTCTTGTAATACAATAAATTAAGTGTAATACAATAGACATGGCAGTTTAATATATTGTATTACAAGATTCGTAACAAGTTACAAATGTTACAAAATTCTAGACTACGTGTTAGATAAAGATGTATGGAAAGACAACGTGAGTCTAGATTCCACACAAATATGATTCAAAGTGTATTCCATAGCATTTAAGTTTATTTGAAAAGAGCAATCCTTAGAGTTTCTTGCTCGTTCTTCTCAGGGAGGCCAGTCTAGTGAATGTATAGTAGCTTCAAAAATAATGTTTTCATTTTGACTTTGACATTGTTGAAATTTCAATTGCATTTATTTCAGTCGATATTTTGAGAAATAATTGCATTTCCCAGTGTAACGGCGATATATTTAGGTAGAAAAAATGGAAATTCAAATATTTGTAGACATCGTAACTTATATTATGTTTCTTACAAACAATCAGAAAGTATTTGAACTTATTATATGGACACGTGTTCAATATCCGCGTCTATTCATCTTCCTTCATTCATCGATATCAATAATATGTCAAAAGCTGGACAACTTCCCAACTTCCACGCACCACATGTGTTCGGCTACTATTAAGCAGTAAGTTATTGTCATATACCTACGTAGTAAGTTTAGAACATTAGCAAAAAGTTATATTTAGGCAATATAAGACTGAAATATCTGCATCTGCATTAACAGACGTCGAGTTGTATTTGTTTAAATTTTGAACACTTGCATGATGCATTACTGCTTTTATAAAGCTCGTACCTGTACCAAGTTTTTATTGAATGTTGCCTTGTTTTACTACCATGATGTTCAATCATTTTCATTCCGGCTGGATTCGAACCGGAACCGACTTGTTCTAGCAAACCGTGCCAGACGCTATGCCAACTAAGCCACGGAACGAACCAACGTACCTTACGAATTTTTCTATGTGTTTGTTTCAGATCTGTTTTTTTTTGTTTTTAACGACCTTAAATGCTTAGCGCCATCTGTGAGAAATTTATTCCTTCACACAGTATTTTTCCATAGAACATAAAGACTTACTAGCTATATTGTTAAAGAGATCGTCCAGGGAAGTACTGCCACCGCATACACACTGCATATTTCGGCCGTCAAACAGTAAGAAGAAGTAGCCGTCACAGAGAGCAGGTCCGCCCCGGTCCCGACCCGAACCGCACCCGCTTTTTGTGTTTCACGCTTTATTGCGTTCCGGTTTCGAAAGGTAAGTCTGCTGGTGAAATTACAGGCACTTGGGATTTGTCAGTCTCAGAGTGACAGCGACAGTGCCCGTAAGATTTTTACGATTAAAAACTATGAGTGGCACTACAATTGTCATGGATATGCGTTTCGTTTACCACCAAGCGCATGATGCATTTGTTCGTTCCGTCGCTTGGTTGATATTATAAAAAAAAAAAGAAACGCGGGAAATTTAAATCCGTTACCCACCGTACCTAACTCGCAGCGGGAAACCCGCAAGTAATACAACCGTCCTTTTCATAAACAACGTAATCGATATTTTAATGAAACTGAATTATTAACACATCTGGAATCAGCAAACCGAGTTTCGCAACCCTCTTTAATAGCTGTTTTTATATCTCACTTAGTTTCAGTTTTATTTTTAAGCAAAATCAGCTTATTTGAAATTTTTCATAAATAACTTTACGTGCCAATATCTCGAAAGTTAAAAAAATGAAAATGCATTAGTATTTTTCAGAGATGTTGTACTCGTATATGACATTATATTCATATTGCTTAACTACCAGAATCTAAAACTAGGATTACATTATGATTAATAAAATTAGGTACCCAATATGCTGACCATGTTAATGCTTTAGTTATGACAAGGAGGGCAGAATAAGTTCCAGATTCTACGAACACCTATCCGCAAATTGAAAAAGTGTTACAAACGACGAAACGTTTTATACCCGACTGAAACTCCTTTTGTGGGATAATGAATTTTACAGTGTAGAGGAATTTCTTTCGAATAAATTGTATTTCATTTGGCATCGTCGCATTTTGAGAATATTTTATATTCTCCTATAGTGTATGTGGATATGACAGAACAATAAATATCGTAGAAGTGCTTAGTTTGCGTGCTAACAGTTTGCAGAGTGCCGCGAACTTGATCTCATTTTCGATTTTTACGTTATGGTCGTGTCAATTATCACGTGCAAAACCTCAAAAATCGTAGGAAAATGTCTTATTACGCTACTTTGGAGGGCGAAAATCATAGTCACACTTGTAGTATTATCTATGGTGCTGTCTCATTATCGTCATTAAGTCTTATTTTATTTAGTTTTAATAAATTTTCAATTTTCCATTGTTTTTTCTTCCGTGGTGGATATACTAATGATTTGTTTCGAGCGCACACGTCACAATGGTACGGACGGAGAATGGATCAGTGTATGTTCGACTGTCAGCCCGGAGGTACGTGGTGGTGCATAGGCGAGGAAAGTACCAATACGTTATTATTTGTAGGAGCGGATACTACATCTCCTATCACATTATCCCTTGACATTGTATTTTAAATTGTAATATGAAAATGTCGTGTTTTCAAAATTTGTCTGTCATAAACTACGCTTCGAAACCGCTTTGTAATGTATTGACCCTCGAAATCACGAAGTTGATGTCTTTGATGCAGCAAATATGATTAAAAGTGAGCCAAACCCCTTCATTAAGTTATACTTGTCATTTGTAGGCCATAAATCAACAACTAAATATAACGGTAGGTTATACGGAAATAGATAACCTGATGCTACTAATCTATTGAGGATTATTTATTTCCTTTATGCCTTTTCTCTAAGATAACTTACGCCTTCTACTGAATAGATCAGTGTTCGTGTGATTTATGAATCACCTCGGCACAAATGGTGAATAATATGCCAGTGTATATGGCTCTTTTGCGGATTATGAGACAAAATAACTGGATAATACAGAAATATGACTCAAAGGCCTGTTACAGACGTGAAAGATCTCTTGCAATTAATTCCGAGATCGCTCTTTGATATTTGGGAGGAGAAAAATATTTTTCAGGTGCAGCTGATATTACTGCAAGATGTAGCTGAGTGTAGGAACATTATACAGGGTTATTTTTAAAATATTAACAACCTTACAGGATTATATTACTAAAATCATAAACAATAACTTTTGTTCTATGACTTTTATTAAGTATTTAAAAATATTTAAATAGATCGCTCGATCGATCGATCGGTCGATCCATAGGTTCTCAAACTTATTGGCTCACCATAAAAACCCATCACTGCAAAAAATAATTCAAAACACGTATTTTTATATTAACTTTACAAAAAATCACGAGGAAAAAAATTATATATGTATGTATAATATGTAATGAAGTGTAGATCTTATAGATAATTCAGGTTTTTTTTGTTTCAAATGCACCACCTGGCATCCGAAGTAACTACCGCACCGCCTCCTTAGGATTTTTCAGCGCCCTCTGGGTTAAAGGGGACCACCAGTGTAAATACGAGTGCATTTCAAAACGCAAGAGCGAAAGTGCAGGTCGTCACAGAAGAGACACTTGCACGTTCGTACTTACCACCAAAACAAATATAAAATTTGTGAGATACTTAGTACTACAATAAAAACTTAAATTATTTTTGGTAAACTTATTACGTTTTGTAAAAAGTAATGAAACTAAAGTTGTTATTTATGATGCTAGTAATATAGTCCTGCTGGTTTGTTACTACCCAATTTACAAGTATTTTTTCTAGCAGTAGAGCTTCTTGTGGAAGAGTTCGTCCAGGGAAGTACTGCTACCTTACCTATTTCTGCCGCCAAGCAGCAATGTGAGCAGTACTGCGTTCCGATTTCGAAGAGCAAGGGTGCTGGTGAAATTACAGGCATGGGACTTGTCAACTTATGTCTCAGAGTGACAGGCGCAGTGGCATTGCCCCTCAGATCTTTGTGATTACTACCAGGGGTACGATTCGTTCGTCCAGTCAATTAGTATTATATAGAATAAAATCTGGTTCGCAGATTTGTACGTTGTACTAGACAAGTACAAATAACGCTTTCAATAACTTCAGGAATATTACACCGAACAGCCTAATTACGCCCATTTTCTATGTTCAGGTCGTCGTGTGACCAAATAATGTAACACTAATCGGGATAGCCTCATTTTTATCAGTACTAAAAACAGTACGAAATAAATTTGTTTTATGCCACTTCTTAAGTAAATAACATGGTTACTTTGTAAGTTACGTTTATATAAATATATATATACTTACACCGTTGATTATCTCTTGGTTGTAGTAAAGACTGGAGCATATCTGGAAGAGAAAACATCGTATTTATAATCACAAAAAAGTCAAACAAGAGCTAAATTATGACTATGTTATACTTACCTCGTTATGTCATAAAGCAATTATAAAAATATCTGTTTCAACATGTGTATAAGGTATTTTAATAATTTACCAAAAAAAAAACAAAAAAGAATATTTGACAATAAAATTGTGCATTTAGTGTATATAATAAATATGAAACACAACACTAGACACAACTTGTTGTACGGTATATCACCTACAGAGAATTGGTCATGATTACTGCACTAGGCTAAACCTGTCTCGCAGGTTATTAATGTTTCCTTGTTATCATGAAAAGAAAGAAATGAAAATAAAGAAGGCAATAAAAGGCAATGAAACTTATTTTGTGTGTGTGTGTGTGTGCGTGCGTGCGTGCGTGCGTGCATGCGTGCGTGCGTGCTTGTGTGCGTGCGTGCTTGTGTGCGTGCGTGCGTGCGTGCGTGTGTGTGTGTGTGTGTGTGTGTGTGTGAGTGTATGATTTAGTATACGTATAAATGAATTTAATGATTATAAGGACCTACTATTAAAGTACAGTTGACAAAATAGCTTTCGACACATTTCTTCTACAGTAATAAAGATTGTCGTACACACAGACATATATCTAGATGTATGTCTGTGGTCGTACACATCGTAATAAAGTCACAAGTGATATGTCAAAAGCTTGCTTTTAACATATGAACTTAGAATAATAACGCATAGAATGATAGTTTCATATCAAACGAACTGTCACAAGTGAGGCAAAAACCAAATTCATGTAGGCGTAAGCAACTTGTAACTACGCTCGTCGGCACGCACACAAATATACAAATAATGATGCCATGGAATAACATTTCCCTCAAAAGTGGGGAAATTGTATCTTGCTTAACTCATCATTAAGTTAAAGGTGCCTACAGATTTGCCCGACATTGTTGATCAGGTGCCTACAGATGTGCTCGGTTTTGTCGATGAAAAACGAATATAGCACTTATTTGTAAATCCAAGATGGCGGACACGATTTTTCAAAATATGCTATATGGGTATCCTTTTCGAGGTATTTGGGGATGCTCATTACGAATATGGCACTCATTTCTAAATCCAAGATGGCGGACACGAGTTTTGAAATAAATGCAATATGGGTATCATTTTCGAGGTACTTGGGGGTGCTCATTACGAATGTGGTACTCATTTCTAAATCCAAGATGGCGGGCACGATTTTTTCAAAAAAATGCTATGTGGGTATCATTTTCGAGGTATTTGGGGATGCTCAATGTGAATATGGCACTATTTGTAAATCCAAGATGGCGGGCACGATTTTTCAAATAATGGCAAGTTGGGTATCGTTTTCGAGGTATTTGGGGGTGCTCATTACGAATATTGCTTTTGTTTGAACTGTCGTGTTTGCCATCTTGGATTTAGAAATGAGTGCCATATTTGTATTGAACATTCCCAAACATCTCGAAAACGATACCCAACTTGCCATTATTCGAAAAATCGCGCCCGCATCTTGGATTTAGAAATAAGTGCCATATTCGAAACCTAAAACCGAAAATGCCATAAGCAAACATTAAAGAAAATAACTGTTAAAATAGATTAAAAAATCGCTTAAGAATGCTCCCCTTTTAAGAAAATAAAATATTTTAATATAAAATATTTCGCTTGAGTTACGAAAAGAAAGACATATAATAAGCTATCAAAGTTGTACTGGTGGTGCCAACACTATAGTAGAAACAAATATATAAGTACTGTAAATTTGTTGCAATATGTGCTCCAATTCAAATAAAATTAAAATAAATAATTATTCAATAAAGCATGAACGCAGAGCCGTTAAAAGTATTATAAAATAATTAAGTGTCCCAATCACTTACAGGAGTTAACGAAAACATTTAATGTTTATTAAAGTAAATATTAGTTCAAGATGCGC